CCTCCTCCTCCTGCTGCCGCTGCTGCGACTACTACGACCACTCCGACAATACAACCACGACAACGACGACTATGACTACGACTACGACTGCGACAACAACGTCACCAGTAACTACCACCCACTACCGCTACTACCACCACTACGTTACAAAGTGACACCACTACCACGACGAGTAGTACTGGCAACAGCACTAGCGCGAGTGCGAGAACAGCCAGTACCACAGTACTACTATGCGACCACCTTAAACCGTACCCCTAAACCCCACGCCCTATAGACCTTCTACTACGGCCACGTCCTACGTAAACTATTGCACCTTCCTGCCAGGAGTCCTGGGGCTCGGGAAGAGGACAGACCCAGTTTGCGCAGGCTTGTTGTCTTTGCACAAGATTTACAGAGGCAGCTTCATCCCGCACCCAGAGACCCATTCGGATTGACAGCGTTTCAGCTCAGCCAGGGCTGCCGCGGCCTGAAAGTGGGCTGGAATGAGGAACAGTAGCAATAGTTATAGTCAGTAGCGGCTCTTGTTTGTTAGCCGTGTAACTGCTCTTGCCATTATGTGAAATCCGGCTTGAGGATGGGGCCAGATAGGATAAGTAGGTTGCAACCGTCGTCGGACAAACAAAGGCAAGACCCCACATCGGTGAAGGACATCGGTGAAGATCTATACTTTAATTTATGCTAGCCGGGTAGCAGGCTCTTGATCACGGCCTTTCCATCGGCATCACACCAATGACGGAATGCACCAACGAGAGTCTCCTGTCGCTTCCGGCTCAGCCGCTCTGCGATTTTTTGGGGGGCCCAAGGATATGCGGATACATGAGATGCCCCAAAGCTTTGATCGTCTTTGTCATACGAGGACGTCACCGCTGGCAGCAGGCGGCTTTTGCTCCTACTGATCACCTGTCACCAAAGCCCAGAACACTCCACAGGGACTGGGTCTCCGCTTCTCAAGTCTCTGCTGTGATGCACCGCACGGTCGAGTGAAGTGAAAAACAAGGAAAACTAACCCCGGAAAGCAAAACATTGCATGTTCGGGAAGATTCCAAAATTCACCGACTGAACGTTCTCAAAGCAAACCAGGGTCTTCTTGCTAGCACTGTCCGCATTCTGTAGTTCCGAGACGCTCCGGCACCTATTCTTCTTTGTTTGCTTCTTGCTTTGTCTCGTTCACCTTCAGAGGGTCTCTTTTCGACTGCACCCATCATCTACCCGTAATCTAACCTCATCATTGTCAGCAACCACCACCATCGTCGCCGCTTCTCCGCCACCACCCACCACCACACACATTACCCCATCATAAGCTTTCACTCCGAGGTTGCTAGAAACTCGTCTCACCGGCATTCATGCTTTTGTTGGCTCCGTTCTTCTGATTCCTAGTTCTGCAGTAGCATCCGCAATCGTCAGGCAGTCACTTGGGTCGGCTGACGGTACAAGAAAAAACCAATCCCACGTCAGCTCAAACTGCACGGCACCTGCTCTTGCGGCATGTGGGAGCGAGCTCGTACGAGCCAAACTCCCAAGAGCTTTCGGCGCGGGTTCTGAGCCCGCCACTGCAGGCAAGAATACCTCAGAGCAGCCCCTCTTCGACTCCCCCGTCTTCTCAGAATCTTTGCTTAGGGTCTAGGGTCAGGGGACTTAGGGCTTTAGGGACTGAGGGCTTTAGGGACTTAGGGCTTCAGGGCACGTTAAACTTGAAACTCTCGCCAAGACGCCCTCCGAGTCCCATGCTGTGGTCTACGTCCTCCACCAGCTTCCTCCAGCGGTTCGTGGCAAAGTCCACCTCGGCTTGAAGATGAAGCTGGTCAACGCCGGTCAACTCTACCAAACCCAAGTCCTGAGCCCTGGGGCCCTGAGCTCTGAGCCACCCTCTGCATTTCACCAAATTTACTTGGCCTCGGAGCTCTAACTTAGGATGTCGGGTCGCGTGTTCACGAACATCCGTGACTCAGGGCCGATATGGCAATGTTGCTTTTTGAATCCTGCAAGCTGCATTGCTGTTCCAGGCTGTTCCCTAACCGGCCCTAGCCTCAACATTGGAAGTAAACCACAGAACATCGCACAAATAAAGCACGCAACAGCACTCGTACGTTGCCAGCACTGGCCTCGACATTCCGAAACAAGGAGCACCCGACCACCCAACCCTCTGAAAAAGGCTGATACCCTCCAGCCCGCAAAACAAGAAAAGGCCCGAAGCATCAAAAGCCTGTCACACCACTACACCACGAGGTCCATTTCTCAAGGGGTGTCAAGGGGTGTCAAGAGTGAGCGCGAAGGCTGCGATCAAGGAGCACTACAACCTGAAAATTCAAAACTCCTCCAAGCCACGGTCTTGGGAGCCGGCATGGACATATTGCCCCAGTTGGGAAGCTGAGTCGGGATCTGCTCCGTGAACGAAGGATAGCCTGGGCAGCACGTTCCAAGCTTAGGACTGTTGAACGCCGGCCCAGGAATTAGGTGTTGGGCAACTACTAGTACTTCTTTCTATCTTGTATAATGCCGACTAGCCAGAAGCAAGAAGGGCACCTAACTTACGGCCACCACCGCCACCCCACCCCCACCTTCAAAGAACAAACAAAGAGAACAACGGCAGTCGAGCGCCTCTCATTCGGGAGCTTGAAAACCAAACATACACGGAAGACCATCCCCAAATCCTGCACCTCGACCCCACCTACCCCGAAAAACCTGAACCGACGGAAATGCCTGAAGCTGGTGCAGGCAACCTTTGCTCGACCAGAGCTCGACGACCGGACAGTGATGCCAGAAGCTGTCCTGGTCTCCTGCATGAGCTGGGGTCGTTTGGCTTCAACTTGATCGTGCCGAGGAAGTCCGACTCGTAGCAACTGAGGCTTCGCAAACTAAGCCCAGAGCCTTAGAAACCTGCAAGAACTCGTATTTGTCAATGTTGCGCTACAGGAAGAACAAGTTCGCCAGGATTCTCACACGAGCTACTGTGCTAAACGCGCTCCCAAACCCTCCAACCTGGAATCGAAGGCCGCGCCTCAAACCCCGAAGCCTCTCCAAAACTCTAAACCCCATACAAAAGCCTCGACCAAACTTGGAAGCTCTCTTACAAAACAACAAGCTAAAACTCTGAAAGCTGGTTCAACCTCCAGGCTAAGACTCGCACACTCTAGGCAAGGCCTGTTCATGCCTCAAAGGTCAGAATCACGAAAGGGTGCCCGCTGACTTAAGCAAGTCCACCGACAACAACAACAAACCCAAATCAGGTCTCGCGGTTTTCCAAGGAGTACTTGTCTTAACGAGGTCTTGCTGACATTGATCCTGCAAGATGGGGTCCTTGATCGGGGCCCCCAAACTCTGAAAAGATCGTGAGCTGATCAAGCAAGAAAACCTGTCCTCGGCACTTGGGCGCATCGAGGACCCCAAAAAGCTCCACGCGAAGGGATTTGAACGGGGCGTCGGGCGAAAACATGTTCCAGCGCTGGTTTAATGCCTCGGTCGGGGAGGAAGGCCTGGTGGCCGGGATGTATGCATGTATGTACTTGTGCATTGTGTCTGTCTGTCTGTCTACCTGGCTGGCTGTCTGTCTGTCTGTATGTATGACGTATGTACATACATGCATCCATCCATCCCGTTTTTCCTTGGGGGGTCCATGGACTTGCCCCGTGCATCATCCATCCCTCCGTCCGTCCGTCCATACACACATACATACAAATTACATACATACACACGTATGTGTATACATATATTTTTTTATGTATATTTATGTTGTTGTATTTTTCTCTCTTTACTTATTTCTGTATTTATTTAGCTATATCAATATTTATGTTTATACGTATACTTGTATTTGTATTTTTATGTATGTGTATATATATATATATGTAATGCATGTATATATATATATATGTAATGAATATGTGTATGTGTATATTTATATATATATATATTAATATATATATATATATGTCTATGTAATGCATGTGTATGTATATACATGTATGTATGTATGTATGTATGTATTTATGTATGTATGTATGTATGTATGTATGTATGCATGCATACTGTGTGTGTAACTCACTGTGTGTGCAAGTCTCTGTGTGCATGAGAGCGCATCTGTCTGCATGTATGCACTTGATCATGTGCGTGCGTATTCGCATGCGGTTGCACGTGCCTGCATATGTGCATCTGCAGTTGCCTTCGTATACATACGTACACATAACTTAGAGTCTTAGAGTATGAAGGCAAGTATACATACAGTGAGATAGCCATGCCGAACTGGCAGGTAGGCAATGGTAGTGTAGTCTCCTAGGATGAAAACCATCTGTTTGGGTTCACTGCTGTGGAGCTCTCGAGCATTCGTAGACAACTGCGTTGCTTCATGGGGCCTCAAGCTTGAGGCTGTCAATCGTAAGTAAGGTGTTCTTTTGCTTTTCTGGTCGGACCGTGCAATTTTCAACCCTGATGCGGTGCCTCGGCATGTAACTCAACATACCTACGTAAGTGTGCCGGACAATCTACGCTTGGCTTGCTTATCTCATCTATCTCCATAGGTTCCCTTCGGTAGCAGATCGTTTGCCAGCCACATTCCCAGTAACACGAATAGACAGCCCAGAGTCCAGCTTTGCCAGCCACCCGTCGGCTTTGGGCACCAGCCTTGCGGCGCCGAGCATGGAACATTTGTCCTTGGTCAGGTTAGGTTTAGCGCGAAGCCCTATCGAATAGCCAGCGGCTATTGTTTTCAGGCACAAGAAAGCCAGTGCAGCCAGTGCCGTTGAGAAAACATCGGAAGGAAAGCCACAAGCAACCAGGTGCACTATCCGCACCACGACAACATATCCTGTTGCACGGCTGTGAAGCCCAACCTCTGGCAAATTGAAAGAACTGATCCTCTCCGGGTAAGTAGCAAGAGCGTTCATTTGAAAGGCTTCTTCATGCCTGTTCGTGATGAACGCTCCGACATCAGGCTTTGCGGCATCGATTTTGAAGGAGTGTCCCCTCGGAATCTGCATCCCTCCGCCACGGTCACGAGCATCAGCGCGAAGCCGAGCAGCTGAAGAATCGTGAAAAGCCTGGCTGCAGTCACGAAACGCCACAAGGAATCATCCTCTGAAGATCCCTCTTTTGGGAAATTTCGGTCTCTGTTTTCTTTGCCGAAGTCTTGCTCGGCTGCGTATTATCGGGAATGCACTTTACCAAAACCCGCTCAGTCAGCATAGAACCCATCACCCCAAAGCCACCAACCCAAAGAAACCTGCTTTACAGTTTCATACAGCTTCCGAGGAGCCACTGCTGCGGCCGTGTCTTCGCAGGCCTCTTTGGGCCCCGTTGCAGAGCACGGCCCACTTGGGGCCAGAGGCGCAGAAGCAGAGCCTGAACATGGATTTGAAAGCACGTTGTGGTTGCGGGCTTCACAACATCTAACGACAGTCTCCACGGTATTTTTGGCACGCATCACGAAAGCAGAAATAATGGGAAGGGTATGCTATCAGCGTGTAGCAATATGGGTGCATTGGCACCCGGACAGATTGAGAGTCTGAGAGTCTGACAGAGAGGGAGAGAGAAGGAGAGAGAGAGAGAGAGAGAGAGAGAGAGAGAGAGAGAGACCACTGTGATCTGGCAAATGTCGGGATTTCCAGAACGACACACACTTTTGCACGGCACGGATGACTGCGAAGAGCGGCTGACAGGATTTAGTCGGCGTCCTTGTCTTTGTCGTCGTTTGCCGGATAGTGGTGATACGGGTCCTGTCCCTGGCAAGTTAGGATTAAGGGTCCGGTCCCTGGTGCTGAGTAGTGAGGATAAGGTTTCTGTCCTCGGCACTGAGTTGGGGATAGGGTCCAGTCCCCGTTGAGGACTGGGCCACGTCCTCAGGTGCAGGTACATGCCTGAGCGTCCTCAGGCATCTCCCCCTTACGCACAGCTTCGTTGGGCATGGTAGCCAGTAAAGGCCATGGCCCCCCTTCGTTTGAACAGATGCATATCCAGGCGTTTACACACACACACACACGCACGCACGCACGCACAGAGGCAGAGAGACGGAGATATAAATAGAAAGACTAACAGACAACGAGAGACAGAGACCTTTGATAACAGACAGAGGGAACTGAGGGAGCGAGCGAGAGCGAGAGAAGATTGAGAACAAGCGAGGTAGAGAGAATGGTGTTATTTCTTTCAGGCCTCACGGCTTGGAACCCGAACATACTGACTGTGCCTCCAATCGGTCCAAGAAGGGTCTCGGAAGTGCCACCAACCACCCGCTCATAGCGAAAAGCTGGAAGTTCCCCACGCGCAAAGCGAGGTTCATACCGAAATGAAGGCCAAAGAAGAGGCAGAAGGCAACCTCACTCCGCAAACAGGGGTGGCATCTGCCAACAAGGGGTCCATGGTATGTGATGCTATGCGCCTGATCACGAGCGAGACCCAAGAGCGAGGTTACAACAAATCATTGCTAAGCTGTGCCCAGCCACCATCCTGGCAGAGGGGTAAGGCAAAAAAGCCAGCATCCAGGCAAACTTCTCCACGTACCAAGTGGAATGTGTGAGGAACTGGCACAGCTGTGGGAACATCGCCAGGAATCCTGCGGGTGCTGCCGTGGAAAGGACTTCACACACAAGCCGCCCTCGGCTGCAGGGGCCTGCCATGGGCTCACGAGCAAACTGCCGCAAGTGTAGCGTTTGGAGCACCGCGCTGCCTTGCTGCCAGGTGCTGCCCACCTGAAAGTCAATCTAAGCCGAACCCCGAACACCCTCTTCATCACGGTTACATAGGGAAACAAAGGACCCTTGACAAGTCCAACCCAAGACTTGTGGTTCCTCCAAACTCGAAACTACACATGCAATGCCCCAAGAACCCCCTTGACTCTCCACAGCGCCTTCAGCCTGAAAGCCCATAACTTGATGGTTTAGGGTTTATAGGGTTTAGGGTTTAACTTGATAAGAATGAACACTCATGGGTTGGAGTCTCCGAGAACTGGCCCGAGCTGGTAGCTTCGGGGTGTACATTGTGGCCTGGCACCTGTCGCCGTGAGAGCCGATGCGGAATTGTCGACTTAGCGTCAAGGCACCTGTTCGAATGATGCAATTATCCCCGAGCATAGGGGAGATAAAGCATAGGTCTGAGTCAACTCTTTTCCCGCAAAGAACGGCAAAAGTAGCCTATGTCCAGCACGATCCGAATCGGAAGTGCCAGGAGACAATCTGGGTTCTCGACTTTTCTTGGGTACAGGTCTCTGAGTCACAAGAAAGGTAAGGCGAAGCGGGTGGAGGATCTTCCCGATCTGCAGAATACTATGATATGACACTTCGGGGCTGCGTGGCCTGAAACAATCCTGAATACTGAAAGCAGTGCAAGGACAGAGCGACAGCTATCTAAAGCTTAGGGTTCATGACACAGGGATGTCGCTGCGATCTTGGGTCCAAAAGGAGGGTTTCTTGCTGAAGATTCAAACTCTAGCTTAGGTCAGGCTGAACTGCCGGCTCGTCGCTTTTGTTGCAGCAGTGTATTCGTACCTGGGTACTGGGCGAAAGCTGGCAATTACGCTTGGTCAACAAACAGAACCCTCACAACGCGGCAGTCTAAGGTCTAAAGAAAACCTTCCGCCAAGGAGCGGTAGCTGGTAGCAGTCAGCAAGCAGCCAACAGCGCTCGAGGCTTTACGGAAAGACGGAGATTGCAACCAAAAAAAGATTTTGTAGTGGACTGCAGCCAAAACCTTGCCAACAGCCGGATGCCCGTCATGCTGAGACCAAGCAGGGAGCAAGACCAAATGTTGTCCACTGTCTCTCTCAGCCGATGCTTTGTCATTTTGGGGCGACTGGCGGGAAACTGCACAGAAGAGGAAGCGAGGGAGACCTGGCGGTGATGCTTCTGGCGACTGGCAGCTGGACAGATCCACCCGCAACCGGAGATGTCCAAAGACCTTTCTGGTTGCTCCTTTTAACACAAATATGATCCCCTCTCAATCCAGTTGGTCGTGCACACGTCTCATCTTCTCTCCAGTTGCCTCGGAGAGGACAAGGAACACAACGCGGCGACTTGGGCAGCAGTCTTCCCAGCTGACGTGCCGATTTCTCTCAGAACCTGCCCCCCACAAGAGGCATGAAACATAGCTGCGGACCCCAACCTGGCGCAGCAGGAGCGACCCGGCCAAAATTAAAGTTCTCTGTTTCACATCAGGAGACAGCATGATGTCGAAATGCGTGTGATGTTGTTGTTGAGCAGAATCTTCTCGTGACTGGTAGTGCGTGCGACACTGAGCGGAACAACCTTTTGCACCTTCCTTTCTGTTAGACGTGAGGATGCTCAAAAAGTGGCAAGACAGGGTCACTGGGGAAAGAGACAAAGCAACGTCTCACTCGTGTGCCTGGCATGGCAAACTAGACAGGGAGGATAGACAGAGGACAACACAACATGCTGCCATGCCCCATCAAAAACACACTTTCTATCTATCCCTGAGCAGCAAAGGTGCATCGACGCCATTTGCATCAAAAGAAGGAAAGCGCACAGAGGAGCTGCAGTGCCTGCGCTCCTCAGTCACAGTCGAAGCCTTTGGCGTTTCCCGCGGCTACGTCGCTGGACTTGGCCGGACTCGGCTGGCCCTAAAGCCGCATGATGACGTAACAGCCCTTGAACCACTTTGAGAATCCTGCTGTCAAACACAGAGGCCCTGCCGAATTCAACACATGCCAAGGGGAAAGGCAATTTCATCACTTCCAAGTTGCTCGCTTTTGCTGACTTTTGCTGTGGGGCTTGCACAGTTTATACAAGGGAGACGGCCTTTACGTAATTGAAGATGCAAAGAAGCACTACTATTGTTACCTCGACAAGAAAGTTCACCCCCGACTTTCAATGAGCTCGCGACCTTGTGTCTTTCCGGTCATCGCGCTCGTCCTTGATCCAACATGATTCGTAGCAGTCTTGTTACATCGTGCTGTTACACTGACATCTCCGAAAGAGCATCAGCCGCAACATGACAGGAGTCCATGGAGCCTGCATGCACGCCATCCAGGTTGTGGTTTTTCCACCGTCTCTTCGACAAGGGTGCCACTGCAAGGCTTCTAACCAGAACGACCCCGGGCTGGGAGCAGTGGCCTTGGGCCAGTTTTGCTGCGACTTCCGCACCAGGGATCCTACGACTGCGCCTGTTGACCACGCTGTGAACATGCTCGAAAACACCACAAGTCACTGTCAAACAACATGCTGCGCTGCGCATCTGTGGGTCAACTGTATGTCGCGCGAGTCTCCGGGAACAAGTTCGGACCACAACTTCCCACATAGCATGGAAACAATGTCACGGAACCCCCCGATCTCCCGCAACTGATGCTGAGGCAAAAAACGCTCCTGATACTTCATGTCTTCGTGCCTACTGGCCTACCGAGTCCCTCGAACCAAAGAGGAACCCTATGCCCAGGTCCCAGGGGCAATGTCCTCACGCGTGGGGCCGAGGTTGGAGCAGGCCGTGGACTTCATGCGCTCACGCAATCCGGACACCGGCGTCCTCAGCTCTGCCTGAAGGGCACCAGAAAAGCATCTTCGGGCCTGGGGCTTGGGATTTGGCGTCATGCTCACGCTTCAAGTTGCATCCTCTGTGGGTTGCTGCGGCACACTCGCCTGCAACTCCTGGCCTGGAAGCTACGGTACCCTCGGCTCAAAAGCAAATGCGACTGTAATCTGCACATCATAAAGGAGGCACAAAAACTTTAAAGCAATACTGTTTTTGTTTGCTTATAGTTATGCAAAAACTAATTGTTGCACACAACATTGGCTCCTGCATCGCATACCACAGCAAGCACAAAAGGTGTCATAGGTGGTAGGTTATATAGTTTCCGACAACTTGTAATGCCAAGCTTGAATCGCAGTCGGTGCATCGACTTTGTCGGCGTGCCTGATACTCTCACGAACGCCCATGTCCCTGCATGCCTCATCCTGGAGAAGCTCGGGTTCTACGCGCCGCACTTTTGTTGACAAGGAGTTGGCGGCATCCAACGACCAAACATCCTGCACTAGAAGAAAAACTCTTGAAGGCTTCTCGGGTTCATGTTCCGAAATTTATCTAATCAGCCTAGGTGCCAAAAGGCAATAGTGAAGGAAACACGATCAATCTGCCAAAGGCTTTCCTAGGCAAGGGTTGTATGTTTGGAATGTATGAATATGTTTGCTTCCGGTGAATGCGACCCAATCGGTCCGCCAGAGGCTGGAAGTGCGCCCAGAAAAGGAGACATGTTCGGAGCGCGTCCCCGCTGTAAGCCGCCTGGGGCGGCTAAAATGAGGCACGAGTATGATTCAGGTCTTGCTTGTAGTTCCGACCCCTCTCTCGCAAGTGTTGCTGACCCTGTCCCTCCGCTGCATATCATGCCCAAGCACACCTATGTGTTGGGTGCGAGTACCATGCCCGGCTGATAATATGGATAGGCCTTACGCCAGTGCACGAAGCAGCTGATGACATGAAGCCGACATGATTATCCCTGTGCCGTCTGAAGATTGCTGCTGCGGCGCACAGTTGTTCAAGCGGTGTTGTTGAGACAAGGAGAAAATCCTTAGTGATGCAGGATTCCAGAAGATTCAACCCACGAGTAGAAATTGTCATTCAGGAAAACGCTGCCAACGCTCCTGCAATGTTAGGCTTTCGCTGACGGATCGCATCTGTTGAGCTCAATCAGCTAAGCTGTGCGAATGCGGCACCTCATCCGTGCAATAGCATCCAAGAGATTAATGAAGGATCTCAAATGCAGCACCAGGTTCCAGCAAATGAAAGCGGAAGTCCGAGTCCAGAACCCCAGCATGAAGCACAGCGACGCTGCCAAGTTGACCCTCGCTGAGTGGACTTCTGTGCGGTTTTGGATAGTTCGAGCCCCCCGGTTTCTTGAGTTCTGCAAAAAATCAATCACGGACCCAAGAATCGTTTGTTCTTGTTTCTTGATTCGTCCACCGGTCATGCCTGACACAATAACAAAGCGTAGCCTTGGCGACACCTTTCCACGCGCTGTGACGTCTAAAGGCTGAAATGGAACGCTCTTGACCATTGAATGCCCTGAACGCTATCTTTCTGTTCGCTATCTTTCTGTTAAACATTAGGTCGCTTGTGGACCGACGCCCTTACTCGAATATCCCCATCAACTGCCATCCCAAGGATTTTCTCAATTTCGAAGCCCCCCCAAACCCTGATCACTTCGGGCCCGTTCCCTGCTCCCTGTTACTGCTGCCGCACGGGTCCGAGGAACAGCAACATAATCAGGATTCCTTCAGAGCCCGTGGCAGCCAGGTAAAGATCCTTGGGATGGGGAGCTTTGGCAAACACTATGTGTTGAAGAAACGATTGGCCAAGTACTCTGAAGTCGCTCTCTCTCTCTCTCTCTCTCTCTTTCTCTGCCTGTCTCATGTCTAGTTTGTTTTGGGACCGTGGAGAAGTGGCGGCGCAGTGTTTTCACCTGATCAACTGTTTCACAAACCCGGCGAACGACGTTGGCTCAAGCCATGAAAAAAAGAGGGTTTGCCTGCTGTCTTTACAAACCTTTCCAAAGAACCCCTCCGATTCATTGGCACGCGCTCTTGTGTGTCTGTGCTTGATTGGAATTCAGCAATTCAAAGCTCGAGATCAGATTGGAGCCCGGAGAAACCATGTTTCCGATCCTTCTTTTGACGTCAACCGCCTTCCAACCAACATATGTACAAACAACCAACACTCAACATTCCCAACTTCTAAGCAAAGTGTCCATTTCGAAACCACCCTTCTGATTTGGTGCCCGTAGCGAAAACAATTCAGGCCAATGGTGTAATCAGCTCAAGGCTCGAACATTGCCTTGCTTGCAATGTGCTCGGCTGGGCAGACCTCAGGCTCAGCGGGGACGCCGGCTGGCTTGAATATCTCGAAGGCCGCCTGACTCCGAACACTTTGTGAGCCCTTATCGCTACCCCGTAGCCCTTAGCCCGGACACGAGCAGCGTAACCGGTTTACATGAGGCCGAGCCACTCCGTCAGGGTCGAGAAAAGCTGCGCGGTGCGATATCAATTCGGTCACCTGAAGGAGGATCCGGCATGTGGAGGCAAACAGGCTCGTACGACATCCACGACAGTGCGTGAGCACAGACCATGGCACGCCGTAGTCTCCGCTGCCAGTGGGCCTAGACCTGTTTGGTGTGCTGTGGGGTTGTCGCTAAGGCGCCATGCTGTTATAAAGAAGGGCCACGGACATTGAACGAGAGCCAGGCGATGGAATGAGGCAACGCATTCAACCACTGCCTGAACCCTGAATGCGACTTCGAAGAGCGGGATGCACCCGTGCCGAGGAGCGTGCCAGAGTGACATACGGTCAGCCCCATTCACTTGCTGATGGTGCTAAGTGCTGAACAATATGCGCCATACTGGCTATGGCCTATGGAACCTGTTTGACCGGCCCTGTTGAATTGCTGCTGGCCTTGTTTTCCAATGCTTCCTACACCCCGGGGCATCCTGTGCCTGAAGCAAAGATAACCATCCTGCCTCCACCAAAAGCGCAGCGCCCAACCCAAGCCTGAAGACCGCCAAGGCCCGGAGGTCCAGAAAAACATCCTTTCGGCTACACAAGGTGCACCGGCCACATGAAGCCTTACGCAATCTCACAGGGCTGCGGCCCCTCGGCAACATGCCGCACATGCATACGGCATGACATGCGAACACAAATCAACGTTGTCAGGATGAAAACAGCCGGAGGCGGCTGATCAGTCTCGGGTGCGTTTTGCTCCAGCACGGGGTCTGTCTACTTTTTGTCGCGCACCTTGTTGAAACCATCCACGCGGTCCCAGTGCTACCGCAACTACGGTCTACGGTGAGCTTTGGGCAGCGTGTGAGGTCGGCGCCGGTAAGCGGCTGCTCGTCGTAGAGGAGCCCCGCACATCCGCAGGGATTTCGTGCAGTTCCGGCGCCTCACCCGCGACGCCGGCCTCACCAGCGAAGCCGCGTAGGCTCGCATCGCAGCAACAGCAAGCATGCCGGACCACCTGTGTACCCAGACTACACGCGCAGCCGCTCGCAGCGGTGCCGCGACGCCGTCTTGTGCCACGAGGAGGCGGCTTCAGTGCTGAAGCGGCCGCTAACCTCAACGATCCCGAGTACGACAAGCCGCGCACGTCTGGCGCGCTGGAGCTCGCGGTGGGTTTGGCGCCGTTTGCGTCTGGCTGCGTCCTGCACGGCGACCCGATCGTTCCCGGCTACTTGTGCTCCGGCCTCGCGGGAGATGCGAGCAACAGCACGCTCCAGCGGAAAGGTGCAGGAGGCAAGGAAGCCGGAACGTGCGCGGAACGCAAGGCAAGGGGAGCCGGAGGCGCGGGAGCAGCAGCACACGGAGGTGCGCCGATGGCACGACAACGGCAGGGGACGTGGGGAAGTCTCCTGACGTCGTAGTCCTGTTCGGGTGTGTGCGTTCTTGGGTTTGCATGGCTTCGCTTCGGGTGGTCTATGACATTATGCGACCACATGCGACCACGTACGACATAAAAAGCCTACGCCAGGTGAGAGCGGCGTGGGGAAGCCTGCCCCTGTCGGACCGCGGCTGAGCATGCCGTTGCGAGGGCAGGGGGCATGTCGGCGTGCGGTCAGTGCAAGCTGGCGAGGAGCTGCTCAGCTTCGGTCGGGCGTGCGAGCAGTGCGGGGAGGGAGTCCTGCCAGGAGGCTCAACAAGCGGCTAGCGCTCCGGTTGCGGCGGACCGCAGACAGTGGCCAGGGAACTGCCGAAGCAGCTGCGGCCGGCAGCGGCGAGACAGCGTCTCCCTAGAGCAGCGTGCTGAGGCAGGCCTCAACGGCTCTATCATGCTCACGAGCACATTGGGCAGTGGAGTCCGGCGGAAGCATGCGGAGGAGGTAGTTGGCGCGAGGGGAGGCGCAGAACAGCAGGAGAAGCCAGGCTTTCTCACTGTGGCATTGTTTCGCGGCGCGCGATAACAAAGTCAGAGGGGCTAGGTCCGGACCTAGAACAAGGACAAGCGACGGAGCACGACCAGGATGTGACGGATCACCGTCGGAGTTGGAGGTATTGTAGGAAGGCACGGGTGGCAGCAGCAAGGCCGCAACGCACAAGTCAGGAGAGAGGATAGGCAGAGATGCAGGTTGACCGGGAGCAACACCTGAGCCGGGGCGCACGCATATCAGTGCCAGGGCTGCATACACCGACGTCTTAGGAGCGACTGGGGCGAGGCTTTTAAAGCTTTGCACACTGTTTTGCGACCCTGGAAACGGAGTCCTTCCTTCTGCAATATGAAGGCAACCTGCACATACAAATATGTGCTCAGGCTCGCCCCCCGCCCGACGGCTGCTGGCAGGCGCCTGCAGCCGATGTGCGTCGGCAAGGAATAAGAGCAAAGCAAGCAGGCCGCCAGCCTGCCCGCTCTAGGATACGGAGGAAAATTCAAGTTTCTTCATGCCAGCGCCGGACTGATTTCCAGGCCACACACACATGACCGAACTGCAACGGCGGGCACGGAGCAACTCAAGGTACGCAGATTCTCGGTCGCTTCCGCGAATGCATTTGGAGAGGTTCGCTCCGAAACCTGAGTACTGCGGGTGGGGAAGCCGCTGTGGACACCTGCAAGCTGGAACAGCAGTCCGTTGGCAATTCCCTGTTTTTCCGGCGCTGCACGGCCAGCTTGAGGTATCAACTAGTGCAATCATGCCGACTTCCGCCCCAGCTTCACTGCATATCCAAGCAACAACAAACGTTGAAGGATTTCCAACCTGCACGACATGAGCGAAGATCCCACAACTCGGGGCAAAACGGCGCTATGGTTCTCCTAACACATCGTGACGCTGCCGGCATGCGTCGGTACGTGCCCGAGGCAATGGCAGACGTCGAAACGGCGTGATGCGTGCGACTCCCACGCCACGCAGCCACGCGGCAGATTCGACTCATGCGCAGAATCAATGCAAACCTTGCGCAACCGCTAACGCGTACTTGTCATTTGGTTCCCCGCGTCAAACACATTAAACCTAGAGCAGATTTCAGGGCCAGCATGGGCAATCAAGGGTGTCAACACTGTGTCAACACATCGTTACAAACAGCCTCGCCGCGGCAACAACATATCCACAGCTAGATGAAAAAGTTGAATGTCCCATTGTGTTCAAGGACGACCGGATCTACAAACGGAAACAAACCAAGCCGCACCTGAGATGCACGAAAATGGGAACAGCCCGTCGCACTGGCCTCGCACCGAGACTCGTTGCCTTCCTGGAGGCCTACCCCAAGCTGCCATTCATTTTGTTGTACCCCCACGGCACAGAAACCGAATAGTCCGAATCATTACGTTCCACGGGGTCACCACAGCAAACTAGCAACATTCCCTTATCCCAACATTCTGTCCGCGTGCACCGTGCTCCTTCCAGCATGGCCATAACCGTTGCTGCAAGCTGGCACGCCATGGCATTGGAAGCTTGCAGTCCTCCATTGGGGCTTTCATCTGGGGTAACAAGCAATGATCCGTTATTGCTTTTCCATAAATCACTGGAGCAATCCTGCACTAAGATGTTGCTAACTTGTTTTCCAACAAAAACATGGCACGCATGAAACCATGGACATGTTTCGGATCTACACAATACCCACATGGCGATGCTGATTCGAACAAAAACACATCCGATTGTCATATTGCACATGCAACTTATCTCTCGTGCTGCTATGAACAGAGACTGCAAGTGTGTACTTCAACGCCGAAACTTCACAGGGCACCGAAGTGTTTCTCGCTATGATGGGTCGACTAGCGAGCGCGTGGCGTTAGTCGCATGGTTTAGTTTAAGACATCGATGGCCTGAAAATCCACAT